ATCTAGATAGTTAGTGCTGAAATATCGCATCGTATCGTGATATGGGTGTGAATCGTATCGTGTTGCATCGCAATATGTCACAAATGTATCGCTAATATATCGGATCATATTCTTTGTATCGAGATGCGTATCGGATCGGCATTATAGCTTAGATGCCCAACCCTAGTCCTAATACTGTTTTTAGCAGTGTGGGACACATATATGACTGTTCACATCTCAAAAAATGTGCTTTGGTGTTTTGTGACCCTTTAAAAATAGTTTTTAAGTTATTGTTAAAGTGCATTATAGTATAACCCATTAGTAGGAATTTTAAAAAATTCCCATTTTATTGTGTGCTATCCTTACAGGACATCTAAAACGCATCACAAGTTGCTGCCTGGCAATATAATCAGAGATCCAAATGTTCATTATGTCTGCATATTAACCCCGTGAAGGTGATTTGATCTTATCTTCATGTCATTTCTCTGATTATTCATTCCTTAATTTCATGAGAGTATTAAATCATATTGCATTACATCAACACTTGGCTGTCAGATGACAGTAATGAGCAGAAAGATCTTGATAGGGCCTGTTTATGATGCTTATGTGCTGGTGGACAGGACTTCATTGGCTGGATGTCCCTCAGGGGTTCCCTGTCCAAAAATACACGGCCATAATCTCAGATTCTGAATTGTGTGGACTGCAGTGTTGTGACACTTTTGACACGTCCACCAGGAAGGTCACACACAAACTCAAAACAGAAAACTGCATTTTGTTTCTTAGTGCAATATTCCGATCCGGAGAAAGAGAAATTGTTCTTTTGATTGGATGCAGAACACTGCATGAGCCAAAACAAAATGTCATCCTTCTTCCATCCATCTTCTCCACGTTCAACACAATATCTTCTGTTTCGCTGCTTTTTATTTATTTATTTGTTGATTACTCCTATTGTTCTCATTTGTAAAGTGCTTAGGATAAAAATGTCTGCCAAATGATTAAATGCAATGCAATGTAATGTAATATATCCTCTCCTCACTTGCTTGGCTGCCCTGCTAGCAGCCTTGTGATTTCTCTCTCCCTCTTGTACAATTAAAAATGGAAAATGAAAAATGCCTAGTCAAGGTCAGATGAGTTCCTCTTATAAAATGAATGAGGTGAATAGAGGATATCTTTGCAACCACTCATTGTGCTCATATCATCAGGCATTCGTATTTGCCATTCTCACTCAAATGTTATTATCATTAAACCACTTACTTTGCATTTTAAATGCGTGTGTTCTATCTCATTAAACATCATTCCGGGCTCATCCTGGATCCCAGTCCTACAAGCGATTCATCATTGTTTATTTCCAGAACTACAATGTCCACAATCCCATAGTGAGGTTTAGAGTTAGTTGTGTGTACACACCTTTTTAGGTAATTTAACCTAAATCTTAGATTTTTTTACTGAAGAATTTTTATGAAATGCTTTTAAAGAGCCTCTATTATGGGTTTTTGAAAATGACCATACATGCAGTGCGTCATACAGCACTAAAAGAATGAAAACATCCAGCTGAGGTTTAAAGGGTCAGAAACACCAAAACACATTTTTGAGCTGTTGACAGTCATATATGTGTCCCACGCTGCTAAAAACACTATTAGGACACATATATTTCACAAAAAAAGTCAAAATTGGTTGTTTTTGCATTATTTCGAGCAAATTCGTTCTTCCGGTTTGAAACTAATTTTTGAAGCTGCGTCACATCGATGAGATCCTTGCATGTATTCCAACATGTAGACTGGACGTCTGTACCTGGGAGTCCTGACGTCTCTCAGTGTGCTGCATTCATTCATGACAAAGACTTGGCTCAAACCAATTAGCATGTTCTATTGTATGAGGTGCAATCTCATTAATATGCATGATAGCTTGGAAGACTGTTTTTACCTGTACAGTGTTCAGGCGGCAGAGAGAGACACCACATTGCTGCCAAAACAAGTGGAAGAAGAATTGTTTGGAGATACGTGTCGTCAGTGTTGCTTTTATTATTTGCTGCATCGAAGGTTTTGTTTTCATTTTCCAGATTTGAGAGGGCAGCGGGACTCATATGTGGATTACAGTGCACGCTAGACAAAAATATGCATCTAAGGGACATTGTTTACCCGAGAGCTTTTCTCATCTGGAAATGGTAAAATCCGGAATTGCCTCTCGTCTCCTTTTAATAAAGACACGACTATAGTTGGTGTTGATTGTCCTGTCTCTGCAGATTTGGTAGATAAGCGATCAGTGCTCTTTGTTTATTTACTCAGATGGCAAAGTTAGTTGGTATGGTCAGCAGTACTCTTTCAGTGTTTAAAGACGGACCTTAGTCAAATAATTTATAAGTTACTAAAGTTTACAGTACATTAATATCACTACAATATTATAATGCTGCTCTCCGAGTGTAAACATGAAAACACCACAACCTCCCGTATGTCATGAGGGGCATGAATGAAATTCCTGAATGAAATTGCCAAACTGCATTTATAGTCCACCATTTCATAATTTGTCAAATGATTCGATTACTGATGTCCACGTAAACACAGTCACTGTTTTTCTCCCCTGCGTCTGTGTGTTTGTTTTGCCTCTGTGAAAATCAACGTGTGCCCAAATCGAAACTCCCCTTTTTTATGCAAATTTTTATGCACTTTACCTCCTCCGACACTCCCCCCTAAACATAGCTGGACACGCCCACTTTTCTGACTTTTCCAAACTAGAGGTGAAACTGTCAGGTTTCGCGGCCCTTTAAATCTAAAAGTGCACCATGTTTAAAACTATTGATTCTTTAACAAAATAGTTGACTCAGAGTTGAATAAATGAATCGTGTTGAATTCAGATCTTTTGCCTGATGCATTGATTTTGACACATCACCAAATATTTAGTACCAGATCTGGTAAATGTGAAACGCCTTCCCCTTAAAGTTCATTTTCACAAGAGCCAACCTAGCGCTGTGTTTGTTCCTGTCATTTGTATGATTTTTGATAGAATAACCTATACTGCAATGCAAGATTTGCCGTCCGTTTGCTATTAAAGGTAGGAGCAGCACTGCAACAGAGTCTTATTACTGTATGTACTGGACTTTGTCAGACTTTGACAGGGACAGTCTTTAACGGTTACTGTTCTGGACCAGTTTCTTCTTCCTCTGGATCATAACATGTACAGGCTCATCTAGGATCCCAGTCCTACAAGTGATTCAATAATGTTTATTTATAATGTCCACAATCCTGTAGTCAGGTTTAGATTTAGTTGTGTGAACACAGCTATTGTAGTTGGTTTAACTTTAATCTTAGATTTTTTTTATAAAGAATTTTATAAAATGCTTTTAAAGAGCATCTCTTATAGGTTTTTGAAAATGACCATCCATGCAGTGTGTCATACAGCACTAAATTTATTGATTCCTTAACAAAATAGTCGACTCAGAGTTGAATAAATGAATCGTGTTGAATTCAGATCTTTTTCCTGAAGCTGCGATGTCGTCACATCACCAAATATGTAGTACCAGACCTTTTAAATATGAACACGCCTTTCCCTTAAAGTTCATTTTTACGACAATATTACAGTATAGCTAACTTAGCGCTGTGCTTGTTTCTTTCATTTTATGATTTTTGATACAATAACCTACGCTGCAACGCAAGATTTGCCGGACGTTTGCTATCAAAGAAAGGAGGAGCAGAGACTATTACCGTATAGATGGGACTTTGACAGACTTTGACAGGGACTTTGTTGTTAACGGTTACAGTTCTGGACCAGTTTCTTCTTCCTCCGGATCATAACATGTAAGTGTAATTTAAATTGTTGCCTTGTGTAGTCTGCAAAATTTGTGTTTAAATGCGTGTTGTAAGTTGTAATCACTCCACGTGGCTTGTAATTACTTATCTATTACAGATCAGAGCTTGTACCATTCTCACTAAAATGTTATTATTATTATTTTGCATCATAAATGTTTGTGTTCTGTCTTAGTTAACATAAATTTGGGCTCATCCAGGATCCCAGTCCTAGTAGTGATTCATCAATGTTTATTTCCAGAACTACAATGTACACAATCCTGTAGTCAGGTATAGATTTAGTTGTGAGAACACAGCTATTGTGGTTGGTTTAACCTTGATCTTAGATATTTTTTTTACTGAAGAATTTTATGAAATGCTTTTAAAGAGCCTCTATTATGGGTTTTCTCTTAGGTTAAATCTGTATGGGGCTATTCACATATTGCATCCAAAACCAAGTTGAAAAGACAACGCATGCTCCTTTAGCAATTTAAATGCATTTCTGAACTCGCGATCCTCTGCCATTTGTCTTTGCTATGGCCACCATCAGCTATTCCTACACACGCACAGTATAAATATTCAAATAATTCAACTTTTGCCATTGTGTGGATTAATACTGGTCTACTGGATTAATAAAGGCGTGTCATTGTTATTACTTGCGGTTAGCGTTAAGAGTAGAGTACAGTATATGCTGGTGTTTTTCTGCATTGCTTGATTATATTCCTGCATTGGGTTTTCACACACTCTCTGCTACTCCATAGCCGTCTCGCGCTGAGCCCAGTTGACCAATCACAACCGACTGGGTCATCGGACCAATCACAGCAGATTAGCCTCATGCAAATGAGGAGTTTGAGAACTAAATGAATCGCTGAACAAATCATATTGGAGACTTTGGGAAATTTAGGTAAAAATAAATGCAAATTATAAGACAATGCAAGTGTTTTTTGACATTGCATGCATATAAGCCTGTTGTTGGAGACCCCCAAAACCCAAGTATGACCTTTTATAATACATAATAGGGGCTCATTAAAAGGAAATGATAGGACGGGGATGTTTCGAGAAGCAGGGATCTGCAAAAGTCAGTGTTTATGTAAAATGATAACATCATGTGTAATGTGTAATGACGTACAAAACTATTTGTAGTGGCATGAGAGCATTTTACAAATAAAGTAAGGCATTTTTTGCCACTGGAACAACAAAGTTTGATTTTGGGTTTGAATTATTGTTTTTAAGGTGTCGTACCTGAGGAAGTATACATAAAGAAAGGTGAAGGACAGGATACAGTGGACGGCGTAGAGGAATAATGTTATGATGATGCCTGCAGTGCCCGACTGCTCTGTCCGAAAAAAATGCCAGTAGAGCTTGGCAGCATCCGCTAATGGTTCATCTGAACTGTAGAACAAACGCTGAAACAAAAGAGAAAAAAACACACATTTTCCAACCAAAGTAAATATACAAACATAATCAACAAACTAAAGGAGAAAAAAAAAACGGACACTTCAAATTAAGCTACTTTAACTACAAATTCTGAATTCAGACAATATTCTTTAGAGCCCTAAGTAATCAGAGGTGCACTGCACTCTCCTAGTGCACATTCACCACAGTTTAAAGGGATTTATTTTCAATCGGCCCACCTAAGGCACACCTGTGCAATAGCCATGCTTTAGAATCAGTACTGTATATTGATGTGTCACATCTGTGAGGTGGATGGATTACTAAAATGTAAATGTACATTGCTATTCATTCACACTAGGGAAACCACAGTAAGAGCTAGGGGATAAGACATGATGCTGAAACGTGCATTAAACACAATGCTCAATAGTCTACATGTGTTTATTACCTCATATTACAAACAAACTCAGCTAATTTTATAATGAACTCAATAAAACTGCAAAAGGTACAAATAAACATACCGTATGCCTCTTTGGAGTGAAGCTGAATACATTTTTAATCTGTATATCCTGCATTTTGCATTCTGACGAGCTATGGTTAATACACCAGCTTTTTACATTTGCGGAATTTACATGAGAATGAGGAAACAAGGGTCTAAGACACATGCTATGGCAGTTTTCATGTACTGAATTCTTGGACTATGGTATATTCAGATTTTCTTTATAGGGGACCTTTAAGACTTTTTTTAAAGCAGCATCAAACTTTATATCGCTGTCATTTTTATGGCCTTTCCAACAGCACATCTATGACATTTTTCTAGTATAGAACACCAGATTTAAAAAATTGCTTAATTCCTTAAGATCAAACTTTTTTTTTTTTTTTTAATTAGAGGATTAATGACACCTAATATAAATTATTCAGGCACATATCCTATAGTAATGAGGAATTTATGGTATTATGAACAGGTTTTACAACCTCCTGGAAAAGCTATTTTAATAGTTTGGTGGGTGTAGAATCTAACTTAGACCAAAACTGTACAACCAAAGTAAATATACAAACATATAATCTGCAAAATAAAAAAAATAAATATTAAAAAGGACACTTCAAATTAAGCTACTTAAACCAAAAATTCAGGAAAATGCAGCAGAGATGCAGTCAATAATATTTAGAGCCCTCAGTAATCAGATGTGCACTCCACTCTCGTATTGCACGTTCACCACAGTTTTAAGGGATTTATTTTCAATCTGTTTGAGGATTTCTTTTCAATCTGTTTGCATAAAAGTCTTGGTAGATACCAACGATGGTGGGGGATGGATTATAATCAATAAATTCAATAAAACTTCAAAATTCAATAATAAAAAATGCAACCAAATGCATACTGCTGGACATAGTCTGTTATCTGGGATTTTAAATGGACATGATTTAAAACATTACAGACTATTTACAGTGTCAGTACATTCAGTATTTGTCAGTGTCATACATTAAAACATAAGAGGGGACATTTAAAATAGACCCTGGATTTTAGCTAGTATTTTTTTATTGGTGTGTAAATTTTTATCTTTATTCTTTATATATCCAAATAACTCAAATTTAAACGCTTTAAAAACTTACAAAAGAAATAAATAATAAATAATCTCTACAGTCTGATTATCTGGTCAAAATGCTAACATTCAATTTCACTTGTAAAATGACTTTGTAAGATAATGTGAAACTTCTATTTACAGTGCAGAAGTGTCCACGTTATTTTAAGTGACTTACCCCCAGGATGGCATCTACAGCGAAGACCGCCAGAGGGTCCAGCACTGTCCACGCTGCCGCAGCCATGATAAACTTTGACAGGAAAGAGGGCGGTGAGCCAAACACTAGCTGACAGCCCCATCTGATCAGGAGCAGCAGTAGCGTAGCTGCATTCAAGGTCAGGGGGCCCAGCAGCACCACCAGAACCTCCTCCAGGGTAGTCAACAGCGAACCCTGATAGACTAGATCCACTGTGTGTGCTCCCAACCAAAATCTGCCCACAATGAGATATGATGGAAAACTGATTAAGTCCGAGATAATCAAATAAAAATGAATTATAAATCTACATACTATATTAAAGCCGCAATTGGAATTGAACTAAAGCAAGCTGTGGTATATGTTCTTCATGGAATCATACATGCAAAAATGTATCCATTATACAGCCATAATGAAAGTTATAAAGCAGCAAAAATCAAATCAAACATTAGTACAAAATAAACTGAAATGTATAAGACATTGGACTGATCTGCAGTGAATACACAACGTCACAAATTTTACTAAGCTTCTATAATCTCTCCGGCTCATTAATCTTTTTGTTACCTGATAATATTTGCACCCATTCGGCCCACGTCTGCTGTTCACGCTCACCAATCTGGCTCTTCCACTTTACATTAAAACGGCATCAAACTTCTCAAAATTAAATGTAGGTTGCAAGTCTTTCAAATAAAATTATCAGGACCGTTTCATTTTTACTAAACAGCAAACATTTACATTAAAGCCATTGAACCAATGATGATAGGCTGGTATGTAGCCATCAATTCAGAAGAAAAAGCTAAGTGTAGTTGCATTCTATTCTGTTCCATAGTCCATAGTTTATAAAATAAATGTAAAAAAAGGTAATTCACACCACATTTTGAATAAAAAGACTATACAACTGCCAAGGTAACACGATTATATCAGTAGAAGAACAATATCCAATAACAAAGTCATATTTACTGTGAATCGATTTACTTTTTTTCACATTCGAGTCACAATTTTATAACATTTTCAAGCTTTTAATAAGAACCCTTTAATATTGTTTTACATATAAATATAAAAACAACCAATAAAACCATGTATTAGTGTCCGAAAAACCTCTAGCGGCATAGGTGGTATTAAATTACATTGAATTATTTATGTCAATCAGACCTAATGAAATGCAGGGACTTGAATACATGGAGCAAATTATTAACAAAATACAAACAGGTGTGGGTCTACAATAAGTTATGCCATTAAAAAACAGAAGAGCACAAGACAGGGCAGACACATGACATTACTAAACCCTAATCCCCCCTTCGTCCCACCAACAACAACAACAACAACAACAGGCACTACGTCATAATTATGCCCCTACAAGAGAAAGCTCCTGATTGGTTAACACGCCGCAATGTCTAATGAAGTTGAGATTTGCGTCATTTTCGCCACCTCTTCACGCATATCGATGTGTTCAGATAGACGTATAGATGTACCTCATGTGTTTAGATAGACAAAGAAGAAATATCCTAATATATTCTATCATGTCTTTAATCAAGAATATTCAAGAATCCAACATGGAAGATAAACAAACATCAAGAAGCACTTAGGTTACAGACCAGACCAAGAACTTATGAAACATAGACACCTAAATAGGGCGAATGATACAAAATACGAAAAGGCGATGGGTTAAACATAATATGTAATACTACTGCTACTACAACTACTACCACCACAACTACTTTTACATCTACCAACACCAACAACAACATACAGTAAGGGCAAAATGTTTACTGCAAACCTAAATAAATTGCTTTGTATGACTTATTATGTACTCTCCATAAAATGTAAATAAAACCTCCATCACATGCTTCTATATATATATATATATATATGCAATACAAATGCAATAAGATCAGCTGCAGAATCACTGGAGCTAGAGCTGTTCTGTACAAATGTTTTGCCATGTGTTTTTAGTAAATCCTGAAAGTAGTTTGGCAAAAAAAAGAGTTCTGGCAAGCGCTACTATTAAATCAGGCCCGTAAGATCATATTTTAGATTGATAGTCAATCTATCACAATGGGCCCTATCATACACCCGGCACAACGCGGCACATGGCGCGACACAATAGTTGTTTGCTAGTTTCAGCTTGGCGCAAGAGTCGCTTTGACGTTTTGCTCCACGCTGTTTAAATAGCAAATACATTTGCGCTTATATGTGCGTGTATAGGTGTTCTGGTCTAAAAAAGAAGCTGTATTGAGGCGCATTGCTGGCGCATTGCTATTTTGAACTTATTTTGAAATAGAAGCTTCAAATAGATCGGATCAAGGCTGGTCTATTGTCCAGCGCAGAGCACGTTAGTTGTGTGCCTCGCTTACACATTGCTATACAGACAGGGTGTACAGCAATACGCAAATATCTTTGCAGATGAAAAAGAATTAATATATTAAGGATATATATATATATATATATATATATATATATATATATATATATATATATATATATAGGATATAATAAAGATATATAGCCTATATGATATAAATATAAAGGATTAAAATATTACAAAACATATTATTTTCTAGCCTATAAATATAAAAACCATATCTTTACGCTTTCTTCATCTCGGTGGGCTTTTTCAATTTATTCCTAACAATTTGCTTTTGTATAATGTTATCATTATTATCAGTGTTATTTATTTTATGCATATGTATATTTGTTACAAAACTAGCTTAGATTTGCCCACCTGTCAGGTTTTACACCATATGGGTCCATAACGCTTCATTATTATTGTTATTTATTTGTTTGCCGGAAATTAGAAATTAATTTAGAAATAGTTTTGAAACAAATATCTGCGCTAAACAAACAAAATGAGTTATTTATAAGCTATTTGATGTCTGTGCTTACAAGATTTCCCTATCCACGAGAGTAAAAGCGAATAAAGATCATGAGAAGGCTTATCTTTCATTCTCGGCACTGCAGATGCTCAACTGTTTTCTTACTAGTGAAACGCTCAGTTTTTCAACTTACAAAGTCCATCATGTAAATAGCAAATTCGCTATGGCGCAACACAGGTGACTCTTAAAGGGTCATGAAACATATGTGTATATGTGTCCCACACTGCTAAAAACACTATTAAGACACATATATTTCCCTAAAAAATGTAAATTGGTTGTTTTTGCGTTATTTCAAGCAAATTCGTACTTCCGCTTTGAAACAAAGAGAGATGAAAACACCCTGCTGAAACGAGGGGGTTTCATGGCCCTTTAAAGGGAATGGGAGATGAGACTCTTATTAGTTTATTCTCAAAACACACCAATAACTCATTAAGAAAATGAGCTCAACCCTATTAGACCATGCGCCACGGTGCAAAGCGGATTTTTCCGTCTGTAAATTAACAAAAATGGATTACGACACGTCCTAATTGCTTTTGCGCTCTGCGCAGCACTTTGCGCATGGATCGTCAAAATAGAGCCCTTTAAGTTCAATATGTCAATCTAAACTCAGTTTAAGATTTAACTTGACTTGAGAATTAGTTTGATTTGCCTCAAGATTCAACTTGACTCCACTGTGTTCGAGATTTAGTTTGATTTGATCTGATATGTGATAGATTTACATATTTGACCATATTAACAATTATTTAACACACACTTCAGGTTAATTTTCAGATGCTTTTTTTTTGGTAAATTACGTCAACAGACCCAGCCACCTAACACAATTCACTTCAGCGTTTACAACAGGACCTGTGTTGGTAATGAAGAGTTTTTCCACATGCTTGCGGTGCAATAAAATCCACAGAACACATGCTGTTGTATAGACGGGTGGGACTCATTTGGCAGTACAAGGTTTTGTGCTGATTTCGGAGTGTATTTGTGTGTGTAGGAGTGAGGGGGGGTGGTATTTGTGAGAATGCTGGGGGTAATGAAATGTGCGTGGGGTAGAGTGAGAGAGAGACGCTAATGACTGCGGGGCGTGCGAGTGTGTGTGTGCTGTCAGTTTGCAGCTGATCTCTGACCGCTACTGTGGTCACCAGCCCTGTAGAGAAACGCTCGCAGCGGACAAACGGACAGACATGTGGAACATGTCATGAGCCCATGACCCCAGCTCTGTTTTCCACTTGTTTCTCCCTCGTCTGTCCTTCTCTACATTCCTCTCATCTTCTGTCAGTCGTTATCCAGCATTTAATGATTAGATGTGTTTGGCAACAACGCAGCCTGGTGCATACGCATATTCAGTGAATGACTCCTGGATGATAAATTAAATTAACACCACATGCAAAACAGAACCAAACCGCGGTATCACACAGGGGTTGTGATGAAATGCTGTCCACACAATGAATTCTTTCCAAATAAGAAAACGTAGGCCTCTACCACCACATGCTTAAATCAACTGACTTTCTCCTCACGAGGCTGTAAAGTTTAAATAAGCATTATGTTGTGCCAGTGTGTGCTTGTATGCATGCATATAAATGCACACACAACATATGACAACAGTGTATGAATCACCTGCATGCATATATGTGTGTATGTGTGTGTTTTCAGTGAATTATTGTACTATAATTATTGTACTATAACTATAATTATTGTACTAATAAGCAGACATTTGTAAAGGTCAGCGTTCCCTCTCCTGGAATAATTCTGCATGTATTTGTGTGTTTGGAATAATGATGAGCTTGACACTGTGTTTGGAAGTGAGTGTTTTGTGTGGAGGGTCACCTGTTGATGGGGATTTGTTGAGTCTGCAGGAAGATCCACTGGCTACAGTAGTGCAGGTACAAGCGGGGAAACCACATTAAACTGAAGAGGAAAAGGCTCAGACTAATCTGAGACAGACGAGGTCGTGGGCGGCAGGACAAACCTAGCAGTGATGGAAGGAGACGCACGGCAAGACGTGTTCTCTCGGCTGTCCCACAACATACAGAAGACGACTTGTGCCGATCTGATCTGGAAATAATAAGCATATGGATAAGCAGTTTAATAGCAAAACATGTGTTTGTTTGTTTATTTTTCCAGCTTCTCACTAATGGACATATAGTGCATAAATACCTTTTATTTTTATATATACACATATATATA